AAGTCTATGTGTAACCAGAAATTCATTTTTTGTATAAAATAAAAAAAGTTACGGGGTCGATTATGCGTGGGGAGGGATAAATAACCCCACAATGCCCAAAATTGGTATCCCATCGATTATAAATTGTGTCTAATAGTGGAAATCTAAGAATTCAAATATAAATTTAAGTTACGATCCTATTATTCCAAATTCAACCATACAATTTTTATTTAATGAAAAATTATGAGGAGAAATATAAAATATTCCAATATTTCCAATTGAAGAGAAAATAATCCCTAAAATACTTTAGGATGAATCTTTCTCTTTCCAACTGAAATAAAAAGAATATAATAATTTCTACCAAGAATTTGAGATTAAATAATTTGATTCGACCAAAAATAAAAAAGTAAATTAATCCAAATTACATATTTAATTATAAAAGATAAGGGGTGTTCAATTATTTAAAAAGATCGAGACCAAAAAATAAGTATCACACAAATATGAGTGCTTAAATAAAATAAAATCATAAATAAACATAAGGACCAAAATGCAATAAAAAAATAAGGCATTCAATGTGATAAAATTATGAAACATGCATATATATTCATGAGACTAAAATAAAATAAAAATTAAATATAATATAATAAATTCAAGTATATTAAATTGCAAGATCTTAATTATCCAATTTTATCTGTATTTTCGCAATGTTATTTATGAATATTTGATTTATGTTTTTTATTTTGATATTTATTAGAATTGTATATATTTTATTTTATATTTGTAAAATCAATATTATAATAATTAAATATTGTGAATAAAATAGAATTGATGATAATGTAGAGATAATACTTGAGATGAATTATTATATCATCTTTAAAGTATAGATTAGAATATTGTAAAGTAAAGACGAGAGTTAGAGATGGCCTATCTTGAATTTCATTACAAAAATCATATTCCACCGACTTAAAGAGTGGGGATTTTGCTCGTGCTATTAATGTTCTTGTTCAACCAACTGTGGTTTAAATGTATTGGCAGGTCAAATCAAGAATGGAATTGTTCATCATATTCCTATGAATCTGGAGGCAGTGCCGCGGGGAGGGGGATATCTCGGGCAAGTGCGTGCTAAAAAAATTAATTTAATTTGTTATGTGCTGTAAAAATATGATATATTTTTCTATCTATTTACTTACTTTTTAATAAATTATATTTGAAATGATTGATAAAAATTAAGGTAAATTATAAGTTTAATTTTTAACTATTTACTTTGATTGGTAGATGGTGACACTAATTTTAATGTTTGATCTTATAAATCATTTTTGCAGGAGATCCAGACTTAATTTTTTATCCTTCGATAAAAGATTTATTTTCTTTATAAATAATAGAAGGTAGAACCGATAAAAATCTTTTTCGGTTCATCCTTGGAGTTGAATACCTCATTCAAGAATTATTTTTGATTCAATCTATATGAATCAATAAAAAAAGGTAAATCACTTATGTTGGTTGTCGTTTGTCGATCTTCATTGTTTTTCTTTTATTTTTTCTTTTATTATTATTTTATGTTTAACAATTATGCATTTATATCATGTTTTTGTGTACCTTTATTGTATGTTTTTATTGACTTTTGGTGCATTTTATTTTTGTCGTTTGACTGTTATTTTTATTTGTTTTTCTCAAGGTTAGATTTAAACGTCGTTATAACTGATCAAGATGACGCTTATTATTTATCATAATGATCTTCTCTGGTCTATTCCCTCATATTGTTTGGATACGGGATTTGTAATCGTAGATAGCGTTCCCACTATGCTTGGTTCTGATTTACGTTTTTTAGTAGTCTAATTACTTGTTGTGGTTCATTTGTCGATGTAGTCAGACAAATTTGTATGTATAATTTGTTCAAGTTTTTTGGATGGGGCTTTTACATTTTTTTCCTTATATGGTCTTTGTTTAATCTTTAAATGTCTAGTTTCTTGTGTTAATGTTATAGAAAATATTATAATTAGTTTACAATCATGACTGTAAACATTCGCTGTAATTTTAATATTTCCACTTCTTAATAAAACTAGTTTTTATTTCAAAAAGAATATTTTAACTATCACTTTTGTTTTATTTGGTTACTTCAATTATTTTTGAAAATTATACATAATATTACGTTTTGGTTTATTTTGGTCACTCATTATTAAATAAAATAGAATTGTCAATGTAATTTTTTTAAAAGAATTTCAATAATGATATGACATTACCTTACAATGACACGTCGAGTAAGAAAAAAAATCAAAACTAAATGTTTAAAAGAAATAATTAACTAAAATAAAACAGAAGTCGTAATTGGGTACTAAACGTGTAGTTTACCAAAAAAAACTAAATAGAGGTGGGGCAAGGCGGTTGTGGAGGTGGACACTCCAAGACGTTTCGAAGAAGTTGTTTTCCTGAAAATACGAATGCTTTGCATGAATAAATCGTTTTTTTTCCTCATAAGGAAATGCGTTTTTTCATGATTAACGTCATCCAAAAATACGTACCCAGATTTTGAAAATCGTGCACCATTTGAACATCTCGGTTCATTTTTATCATTTTATAATATATTTCACATTTCAAGTATAATTTAATTTATGTATATAAATATTAAAATATATATATATATATATATATATAATTGTATTGTATTGTATAATTATAAATTATCTAATAAAAGTTTTATATTAAAAATTTGATAAATTTTAAAATATTATGAATATTTATTTATGCGGACTTTTATTTTTATAAGAATTTTATGTATTAAATAGGGCTTTAAAGTACTCTAATATCATAGTTTATGTTTATAAATATAGACTTCAGATAAATTTTTGCTTACAACTAATATTTTTTTTGTCTTCTATTTCTAAGTTTTACCCTGATTAATCTGGATCAATTCGGGTCACACGCCTAGCTTTGGTAGGTGAGTCTCCCAACGAAAATTTTCTGCAACTACAATGACTTGAACCTGGAAGTTTACTTAAGCGATATCAATGTGTTTACCACTTAAATCAATCTCGTTGATTGCATACAACTAATATTGAGAATACAATACAATTACTTTTCATGTTGTCACGTGTTTTATTCTTATTTCTCATCTTGTTTCGTTCATTTTATTTTATAACATAAAACAATCATTTATAAGGGTAAAGTACATAAATGGTCCGTTGACTATAAGATATTATTTTATTGAGTTCATTAATTATTAAAAGTTATAAAATAGTCCTCTAATTATAGGGAGTTTGCTTTGTTAAGTCCCTCAACTATTCAAAATTACAAAACGATCACTTGACTATTAAAAGTTACAAAATGATCACTCGACTATTCAGAATTACAAAATGATCACTAGACTATTAAAAGGTGCAAAATGATCACTCGACTATTCATTATGTTCCAAAATCTTTATTTTTCGTTAAAAAAATTAAAGATCGCCTGAGATAAACGTTAACATGTTGACTGATATATGATAGTCATTTGAAATTATGAGATCAGATTTTATCATATCTTAGTCAATAGGTTAATATATAACTCAGATTCTCATCAAACTTTTATTGGAAAATGACGAGTTTGGAACGTAATGAACAGTCATGTGACATTTTATAATATTTGATAGTTAAGGGACTTAGCAAAGTAACTTCCTATAGTTAGAGGATCATGTTGTAACTTTTAATAGTTGGAAAACTTAATAAACAATATCTTATAGTCGAAAGACAATGTGTATAACTTTACCATATTTACAAATACGATCTGATTTTAGTAAAATTTTAAACATAATTCAACCTGATTTGAAAATATGACTAGTCAATAAAAATATTATTATTTTTTATATAGAAAGTCACTAGTTTTATTAAAATAGAAAATATCTCAAATTACAATGAAGATTTACAAGCATAACCATGAACCTAAAATATAATTATGGCGTTTCCTATTACAATTGAGACAAAAACTAGCCACCTAGATCACATAAGGACCAAAGAAGGAAAGGTTAAAGAACTTAAAAAATAACTAGAATAAATAACGATACGGACAAATCTAACTGCATCGGTAAACAAACCATAAAAAGGGATGAAGCTAATGAAAGATCACCGACAAATCGTAAAACAGAGTCAATCGACATAAGAAAAATATCCATGAACGCGAAACACGTATTCAAATCAAATCGAGGGTCCAAAGCAGGGAAGATCATCATGATAACAAATAAGTGTCATCTTGATCAGTCGTGACGATGTCAAATCCAACCCTGAAGAAAAAGATAAATAAAAACAATGATAAAAAACCGTAAGGTACCAAAAGGCAGATAAAAACATGCCACAAAGACAGATATAAACATGTTATAAAAGCAAGAACATGTCACAAAGACATAATTATTCTTATTAAAAAAAGATAACCAGTGGGAGGAAACCAGCATTAAAACTGGTGCAGTCGCCGGTTAAACAAAATTAAAGAAAAATTAGATTGATCAATAAAATTGACACAAATTGTAAAGAAGAAAAAAATAAATAAAAAATTTATTTAACGGATAACAACCGAATCTTAATTAATACTTTAATATTTTACTTGATTGAGTAAAAAATTGAAAGGATGGAAGTAGGAAATAGAAAGTGGGAAAATCATATTTTAAATGTGATTGATGAGAGAAGAAAGTAAAAAGAAAAATAATGAATGATTGATCATTTTAGATTAGCTAACATTTCAATTTAAATGCAGTACTTCGAATTATTTTACACTTCCTTAATACAAAATCCAAGCATAATTGATTTTGGATTTGGTTAGAGATGATTCTTGCAATGAATTTTGATTCTAGGCCTGTCAAGTGCTAGTGCACCAGATGGTGCAATCTGGTGATTGCTGAAAGCCGAAGGCACCCTAAGCTAATAGGTCCAAATATAAACAATAAACACAGATAGATCAAATGCAAAAGACCCCATAACTCTGAAACATGTTGCGATTGTATATAATTTGATGGATTCAAGGAAAACAGGCAATAGGACAAGCCTCCCCTAGCTACAATGACCAGGTGAACAATCCAAAGATTCGGATTCTTTTATATTTCTCCATCTTCCTAGTTAAATAAGATCAATGCTGCAATTAATACACTTAACCTAAAACCTGTTTTTGATTTTGATTTTTGAAGTAGCCTTTCTTTTGTTGGTCCCATGGTGAAGAAGACTGTTTTGAAAGTTGATATCTCATGCCATAAAAGCAGGAAGAAGCTTCTTAAGGCAATCTCCGGACTACAAGGTAAAAACACACAAGGCTCCATATTCGAGTCTCTTTGTATTTAAGTACATAAGCATAACTGAATCTTAACGATGTACATGAGTAGACAAGATAGAGGTGGATGGTGGTAAGAGAACCACATCAGTAACCGGTGATGCCGACCCGTATGAGATTATTGTTCGAACAAGCAAAGTAGGCAAACATGTAGATCTGGTGAGTGTATTGTAATACCCAAAAATTTGTCTAGTGACTAAAGTGCAATTTTTAAAAGTTTAGTAGCCAAAGTAAAAACTTGAAAAATTTTAGGGACCAAAAATTTAATTTTCAAAATTTATATATTTTGACCCGTAAATAAATAGTCCATCCTTAAGAATGGATCCTATATGGAATTTAGATTATAATCCGAAATTTGTGTAAAGAGCTATTAAGCGATAAATTTCAGTAAAGTATTCGGATAACCAGATCGAATCGAAAATTTACAAAAATTAGAAGGATCAAGGAAAAAGGTTAGAACTATTATTTCTATATTTTATAATGGCGAAATTTGACATGGATCCTTGGAATTTAGATGAGTTTTCCATGATAAGTTGAAATTGTAAATTTTAGTGACTAAATTATAATTTTTGAAAATTATAGCGGGAAAAGGTGGAAAGTGAATTATGTTTGTTCATATTTGACTTTTTGATTATTAAAATGGAAGATATTATGGTGTTAAATGGTCATTATCATGATTTTTAAAGGGCAAAATGATAATTTATCATTAAATTAAATGATATTTTTATTCATGAAAATGAAGAAAAATCTAGAAAAAGTTGTAATCTTCCTTTAGTTTATATATATAGACGTGGGCCTTAAGAAGAGAAGGCAAAGGTAAGTTTTCTTTCATTATTTTTATTTTAAAACTATTGATTTTTTAAAGCTAAAATTATGGTTTCTTTAATATATTTTTATTATGTCATATTGGTAAGCTAAATCTAATGTTTCTTAAATATATATATATATATATTAGTTCTTTGGTTTTGATTTGGAAACTGAGAAGCTGGGCATATGCCATTCTTATTGCATCTTAAATAAAGAAATGGATCGTGTAAATTGAAAAATAATTCAATTTTCTTCCTTCTTCGAACTCTCTCTTCGTCTAGTTGTTGACGCTTGGCAGAAACGAAACCCACATCCTAAGCTTAGATGACTTTTGAGTTTTCTTTACGGTGAATTAAATTTGAATGGTATGAGTTCATTTGATAAGCTAATAAAAATAGTGAATAAGCTAAGAAATGCAAATTAGGAAAATTTGTTTAAATTAGTAATATGAATAGTAAGTTTATAAATTCACCATACATTCTACAAGAATGATTAGAATATGATTTTTATACCGTTGAATTCATATATCAGTCTAGTTTTATTTAAAATAAATATATACTAATTTCGATATGAAATTTTAACAGATGAAAGGTCAGAAATTTAAGCTGCAGATTCTGTTTAAAACAGATTTTGTAAGCTGGATTTAAAAAATTTCCATAAATTATACAAGTTGAACTAGAAAAAGTGCCTTTATATGTTTAGATTCCTATTTGAGTCTAGTTTTTAATGGTACAAACGAAATAATTTTTAAGTGTCTATATTAATACACAATAATATTTCTTTGAGGGTACTGCAAACTGACAGAATATGAAATCGAGGTAAAGTGTGCATACTTTTATGTTATATGCTATCTTATTTGTTTGAAATGAGCCAACTCTATTATCTTAGAATTATAATTATGACATTTATCATATGATGAAATTATGAGAATTTCATGGAAATGTTGTTTAGAGAATGAATTCATGCTTGAATCAAAATGTAATGCATGCTAGGAAAACTTTAAAGTACTCAGCAAAAAGAGAAAGCGATAAGGAAAATTTGTGGTAAAATTTTACAAGGGTTAGAAAAAATGTATGAGTGATTTTATATGCTTTGAATGTGATTTGGACCAATTTGAAAAATTATGAAAGTATAGGGACCTATTAGCATAAATTAAGAAATATAGGAAATAATGTGTAATTGTTCAATAAATTATTATTATGTTGGAATCTATTATTAAAATATTGAATTCGATATTAGAATGTGAAGTTGGACTAGTTTGGAAATTTGGTAAAGTTTTGGGATTAAATCATAAATTATGAAAATAGGTAGGGACTTAAGTGAAAATTTTTGTAATTATTAAGGTATTATGTTTTTAATTAAAAGGCTGGAAATTTGTGTTATATTAATTGAAGCTTGAATTAAAGTTTAATTTGTGAAATTGTTAAGATTGATGACTAAATTATAAATTATAAGTTGTGGGTTTTGAAATAGAAATTGGTATAAATTAATGAATATAAATGAACATGCGTTGGAATATTTGAATTTGTTTTAGGATGTTTGAATATAAGATTAGAAGGAAAAAAGAACTATATTAAATAAAAAAGAAAAGTTGATATGAAAATTTAAAAGAATTTAACTTATGGTTAAAATTATGATATTATGGATTTAGAATCGAATTGGGAAGAATGTATAAGTTAAAGAAATAAATTATAAATATAGAGAAATTAGGGATTAAAGTAGGAGTTGAGTATGAGAGGATGTGTAAAGTCTAAATAATTATTAGAGAGAATTGAATAGTTAAATTAGAATTTGTCTCGATGTGGAAAGTTGTATAAGATAGAGATCCAATTCGCAAGTTTTAGGAAAGTTGGTGGTGAAATGAAAATTAGGTAAAGTTAATGTATTAGATTTGATATAATGAGAAAATAAATGATATTGATTTAAATTGAATATTAAGGAATTAATTTGGATATATTCGAAATATTGGGTTTATAATTGAAAGAAAAGTTTATTAGTAGTTAAATGTGAAATGTTGAAAAGTGAAATGAATGGTTGTAATAATAATGATTATTTAAGGGACTTAGAAGGACAATTTAATAGAATCACAGTTAGTTTCTATTTGGTAAAAGAAATTAGTATTGCATATACGTTAATAATATTTTTAGAATATTTATTAGAACATGAATTATTAAGTTAATTAAAGTATTGATATATGTTAAAATAATATATGAAGTTTATCATTACTCTATAAATGTTTTATATTAAAATTAATATTAAATTTAAATAAAAGCCCAGTGTATAAGACATGAGAGTCAATAATGTACGATGTGGAGTAATTGTTGAATATAATACAGATCACTTATATGACTCATGTACCTTTATGGTGCATAAGGTGAAGTGATAATTGAATACTGTACAAATCACACATATGACTCATGTACCTTTGTGGTGCATGAAATGGAGTGATAATTGAATACCGTACATAACACTCATTGTGACTCATGTACTTTTATGGTGCATGAGGTGGAGTGATAATTGAATATCGTACATATCACTTATGTGACTCATGTGACTTATGTAAATTTATGGTACATGAGGTGGACTGATAATTGAATATTGTTTTGATCACTCAATGGGACTTATGTACCTTTGTGGTGCATAAGGTGGAGTGACTATATGATGCATGATTCTATGGTACCCATGGTGCAATTCTGCGAGACACTTTTAAGTGCATACAAGTCCACACTCAATGAAACTCGGATATTATACATTCTCATGATTTCGTACTAGGCTATAAAATGAAATTAAAGAAATAATACAGTAAATGATATAGTATATGAAACAATACAATATAAGATATAAAACAATAAGAGAAAATAATAAGACAAGAAAGTTAAATTAGAATTTGTCTCAATGTGGAAAGTTGTATAAAATAGAGATTCAATTCGCAAGTTTTAGGAAAGTTGGTGGTGAAATGACAATTAGGTAATTTAATTTATTATATTTGATATAATATGAAAATAATTTATATGGATTTAAATTGAATATTAAGGAATTAATTTGGATATAATCGAAATATTGGGTTTATAATTGAAAGAAAAGTTTATTAGTAGTTAAATGTGAAATGTTGAAAAGTCAAATGAATGGTTGTAAAAATAATAATAATGATTATTTAAGGGACTTAGAAGGACAATTTTATAGAATCAAAGTTAGTTTCGATCTGGTAAAAGAAATTAGTATCGCATATACGTTAATAATATTTTTAGAATATTTATTAGAACATGAATTATTAAGTTAATTAAAGTATTGATATATGTTAAAATAATAAATGAAGTTTATCATTACTCTATAAATGTTTTATATTAAAAATAATATTAAATTTAAATAAAAGCCCAGTGTATAAGACATGAGAGTCAATAATGTACGAGGTGGAGTAATTGCTGAATATAATACAGATCACTCATATGACTCATGTACTTTTGTGGTGCATGAGGTGGAGTTATAATTGAATATTGTACAAATCACTCATATGACTCATGTACCTTTGTGGCGCATGAAATAGAATGATAATTGAATACCGTACAAAACACTCATGTGACTCATGTACCTTTATGGTGCATGAGGTGGACTGATAATTGAATATTGTTTTGATCACTCAATGAGACTTGTGTACCTTTGTGGTGCATAAGGTGGAGTGACTATATGATGCATGATTCTATGGTACCCATGGTGCAATTCTGCGAGGCACTTTTAAGTGCATACAAGTGTACACTCAATGAAACTCGGATATTATACATTCTCATGATTTTATACTAGGCTATAAAATGAAATTAAAGAAATAATACAGTAAATGATATAGTATATGAAACAGTACAATATAAGATATAAAACAATATAAGAGAAAATAATAAGACAAGAAAGTTAAATTAGAATTTGTCTCAATGTGGAAAGTTGTATAAAATAGAGATTCAATTCGCAAGTTTTAGGAAAGTTGGTGGTGAAATGACAATTAGGTAATTTAATTTATTATATTTGATATAATATGAAAATAATTTATATGGATTTAAATTGAATATTAAGGAATTAATTTGGATATAATCGAAATATTGGGTTTATAATTGAAAGAAAAGTTTATTAGTAGTTAAATGTGAAATGTTGAAAAGTCAAATGAATGGTTGTAAAATATAATAATGATTATTTAAGGGACTTAGAAGGACAATTTTATAGAATCAAAGTTAGTTTCGATTTGGTAAAAGAAATTAGTATCGCATATACGTTAATAATATTATTAGAATATTTATTAGAACATGAATTATTAAGTTAATTAAAGTATTGATATATGTTAAAATAATAAATGAAGTTTATCATTACTCTATAAATGTTTTATATTAAAAATAATATTAAATTTAAATAAAAGCCCAGTGTATAAGACATGAGAGTCAATAATGTACGAGGTGGAGTAATTGCTGAATATAATACAGATCACTCATATGACTCATGTACCTTTGTGGTGCATGAGGTGGAGTTATAATTGAATATTGTACAAATCACTCATATGACTCATGTACTTTTGTGGCGCATGAAATGGAGTGATAATTGAATACCGTACAAAACACTCATGTGACTCATGTACCTTTATGGTGCATGAGGTGGACTGATAATTGAATATTGTTTTGATCACTCAATGAGATTTGTGTAACTTAGTGGTGCATAAGGTGGAGTGACTATATGATGCATGATTCTATGGTACCCATGGTGTAATTCTGCGAGGCACTTTTAAGTGTATACAAGTGTACACTCAATGAAACTCGGATATTATACATTCTCATGATTTTGTACTAGGCTATAAAATGAAATTAAAGAAATAATACAGTAAATGATATAGTATATGAAACAGTACAATATAAGATATAAAACAATATAAGAGAAAATAATAAGACAAGAAAGAGAAACAATATAAGAAAAGGAACAGTATAGGAAGAATAAACAATATTGGTTTGATGTTCGATTTAACATGGAACGATTATAGACAAAAAGTTATATTATAAATTAATTCGTATATGAAATGAGTTGGACAAATCTTAACTAAATCGATTTATATTATATGGTTATACGATGTTTTGTAATAATATATAAGTTGCATACTATCGTTATGTGATTTAATAGGTATGAGTTTAATATGTTGAATACGAAAGTAAATTTTACGATTAACAATAGTTTCTTTATATATATGTCAGTCTTGAACAAAAAAGAAAGTGACAACTCTCATAGTAGAATAAATTTTATATTAATTAGTATTTCTCATAATTATATAATAGATGCTTACTCTAAATTGTAGATAACTAAGGTTAAAAGATAATTATTTATCTTATGGGAGTTGATATGTAGGACGTGGAGTTATGATACCAGTTGTTGTTAATGGGTGGTCGTGTGGAGGTAGATAACAACTAAAGGAAATATTTTATTAAATAAATCGATTATAGACATTTTAGATGTTCATATACGAATACGAGAGTTATATTAAAATGCAAATAAAGTAATATGAGAAAAATATAATAAAAAGAGACGTAAATATAACAAGATGATAATAATACATTATGTTATAAAGGCTAATCGATTAAATATTTGAATTAGGCAGTTAATGGTAATATGAAATAATATTAAACTGCTTATTGACTGCACGGAATCGAATATAAATTGGAAATTTAAAACATATCGTTACAAATTTATGCGATTAAATAGTATGATAATAAATTTTAAATTAGGAGATTTAAAAAAAAAATGAAATTTTACTAGTTTTGAACCGGAAATTTTACTCATAATCTTTGTGACATTCTTAACTTGTATTTAAGCACGAAGGTGGATTAAGGGTATTACACGTAAGGCCTCCTCCACAACCTCCAAAGGAACCCCAAAAGAAGCCTGAAGAGAAGAAGGCTGAACCCAAGAAAGATGATAAGAAGACCGACCCTTTGATAATGCCTCACTTCCACAACCCATTAACTTGTCCCGTCTGTCACCGAATGCATGTCGTCTATACAGAACCAACACAGGATGCTCTATCATGTAATAATAAGCCTTAATTGAACAGAAAACCTTTAATCTATATGTCTTCTTTTTATTATGTTTTAATATCTATGAATTAGAACAATGAACATAAAAATGAACAATTCACTATGTTAGTTTTCAAAAAAGATACATAACATAATGTATCAGATACTCTCAAATATCAAATTTTCTCATAATCAATTCTAAACATACATTTCTATTCTGTCACACTATACAGTTATTATATTTTTTCCTTTTTTATCTGTCATGTTACTGGTAACATTTGATTCGATTTAAATTATATAAATTTTGACATATATGTTGTATCATATTCAAAATTATTGTATATAAATTATACACGGAACCTCTATATTCATGGACACTGTAAATATGAGAGATTGCTTACCTTTAAGGGCCTTGGGACGAACAGCCCAAAGTTCAGCTTCGGGTGGGAACAATCTGTATAATTTGCCTTCGGTCCTTTAGCCTGCAAAGACTATCAAGTCAGCCCATTATTTGTGCTTGAAATAGACACATCGAACTATAAAGTATCAAATTTAGGCCTTCAAGAGAGCAAGGTTAGCCTGCTGTCTGCCGGATACGACAGTGTGCCCGTCTTAGAAAACGGTGCGTTTCGCATGTGCCCTTTCTCTTCAAATTTTCAAGATCCAATTTTTCTTTTCATCTGTTTTTTGAACCCTTTTACCAAAATAATTGGAAGCAGGTAAGGTTAATACATGGATCTGCTACCTGCTTGCTTCTATGTAATTTCCATAAAAGCTTCGGTTTTTTCTCTCTCTAAATCTACTGTTCTTTATTTTTGTTTGTTTTGATCTTTCAGAGAAAGAGAAATGGATCCGGATTCAGTTAAATCAACGTTGTCTAATTTAGCATTCGGGAATGTTATGGCAGCAGCTGCTCGTGATTATCAAAAGGTTGTCTTTTTACCTTATTTTCTTTCTTTTTTATACGCCGACTTGACCCTTCCTATTTGTGTCCACAAAGTTTATATTGAAGAGTATGTAATGCTCTGAAATTTTGTTAAAAGTTAAAACAGAAGTAGATGGTTGCCATATTGTATGTTATGTTTTCCTCCCCAAAGGTGATAAATAGTTGCTCATCGATGTTAGATGGGCTATACTAATTGGGTTTTTAGATACTTGCATTTGAGGCATATTTTAATTTTACTGTTAAGCGACTGAAGTTACTGTAATTTGTTGGAGAACTGGAAGACAATAACTTGTAGATGATAGTCAGAGAATTTTAAGATTCTGTTTTGGTCTAATAGAATGGTTTCTCAATGATGGATTGGGAAGTGGGAACTGTAAATTTATGGTGATTTTTAATTGGCTAAGCCAGGTTGACTTGAGTTGCTGTAAAAATTTGATGTCTGGTTATCCAAGTTATCTGGTAAGAAAATGGGTATGCTCAGTGGTATGTGTTTAATGTGTGTGAATTTGTGAATTTGATGATCTTACAGGAGCTGCTTGCCCAAGAGAAGGCACAATCATCAGCTTCGGCCAACGATGAGGTTGACCTGGATGAGCTGATGGATGTAAGTCTTATGAAGCTTTTTCAATTTAATGATGGAGCATCTTTCGTCCATTCCACATTACTCTTCTTTTCTGTAGGCTCATGTGCTTCTTGTATCCAGGATCCTGAGCTGGAAAAATTGCATGCAGATAGGATTGCTGCTCTCAAGGTTAGAAATTTAATGACATTTCTGAATTCAAATTGATGCAAAGTGGTCTATAGATCTGGGCATTATTTGTTCTGAAGTCCCTAATGATACTAAGATTTATTTGAACAGAAAGAAGCTGAGAAGCGAGAAGCGATGAAGAGGCAAGGGCATGGAGAGTACAGGGAGATTACTGAAGGAGATTTCTTGGGTGAAGTCACCGGAAGTGAGAAAGTGATTTGCCACTTCTACCATAAGGAATTCTATCGATGCAAGTAAAGTTTTTTACTTTTCTCTGTCTACTATGTATGCACATACACATTAAGTGACATACAGTTTGGAGACACATACTGTGCATGCTCAATCATAAATGTGCGAGACTTATTGTGTATTATGCATGGACATCCAGGATAATAGATAAGCATTTAAAAGCCCTTGCACCAAAGCATCTGGATACAAAGTTCATCAAGCTGGATGCTGAGGTGAACATCGACAAGCTTACTATAATTCTAAAGCTTGTTCGAGACATATCATATTTCATTCCATTTGTGGTATTGGTTTCATTGTGACCTTAAGATTCTGATTTTTTTTTGGCAGAATGCTCCTTTCTTTGTTACCAAACTTGCAGTCAAAACTTTGCCTTGTGTTATAATTTTCAGGTCAGCCATCGCTTAGTTTCTTTTTCCTTGGCACAAATATTGATAAGTTTTGGCATCATGTGTTAAAGTTAGAAAACAATTCTCTCTTTTTTATCATAGCTGTCTAACCTGAATATTTGCAACGTTTGGTCAGAAAAGGGGTTGCTGTAGATAGGTTAGTTGGGTTTCAAGATCTTGGGGGGAAAGATGATTTTGCTACAAGGACACTTGAGGTTTTTCTGATAAAGAAAGGTAATGACTTACCTAGAACAAACATGCAATTTATAGCATTTAGCAGAGATGAAAACCATGTATCATTTTACAGGTATAATTAGTGAGAAGAAAAAAGATGATGAGGATGACGTTTATGACGAGAGTAGGCGCAGATCAGTGAGATCTTCTGTGAATCATAATTCTGATTCCGACTGAAAAAGAAAAGGAAAACGAAAGAAATTTACTGTCTTCTATCAGGTTCCTTATCTCAAGAAGTGCAGTTTGAATTCTCAAATCAATAGCAACATGTTCATAACGGATGCTAAGAACTATTATTTACGGGCGCCGGCCTTCATTGCGTGATTCTATGAGTTTGAAGTTTTAATTGTATCGAAAAGAGAGGAAGTTTGACTGGCAGACTATTCTCTATGTGACATTTTTTAGTTATGATTTATTGCCGTAAAGGTCATCGATGTATGGCTGTACTATTTGCCTGGTTATGTATCAAGTCATACATCTTTGTTGACGTTCAATTGCTGTAGTAATTTGCCGCAAGTTTTTAGCATTTCATACTTATGAATGATTTGCTTGGGAGGCAATTTGATTGAACTTGCATCTAGCTCATAAATTTGCTGTATTCTATTGCCAGATGAGGTGACAACCTTCTCTGTTTTTTTCTGTTTCTTTCCTTCTTCCTGCAGACCACCTCCCTTATCTGAAATATTGTTGATTATGCATTCAAATGGGGGAAGCTTTATGACAAGTTGATTATTGCCTAATAAGGATTTTATAAATGGATGTTTTCAAGTAATACATGAGCTAGCCAAAGCTCCATATCTATAAACCAGACCTTGAACCTAAGTCATAAACCTGTAGTTTATAAATCTTCATAATCCCAAAGACCAAAATTACTAATGTACAAGTACAACCTTAAGTCCAATTGGGAGACGTCTAAATACCACTCTTGCAACTGTTAAGAAAATATGATGCTAATGACTGGGGCACAAGGCTTGGTCCTCTACTTCTGAGGTCACACTTCTGCTCTTCTTTTCCTTCTTCCTCTCTTGAACCCTGCAGCCAATAAGAGAGAAGAAACTTATAATTTTCTCTCGCCAATAATGGATTCTCCTATTAATGATGGTTAATATGAAGTTTTAAAATCATTTAGTTTGCAACTATTTGGATTATTGAGATAGCTAAGGAATTTTGTACCCCTTGCTTTGACCTATAAAGCTTGCTTTGTGATGACTGCATAAATGGCACGCTCAGTGTCTGCAAAGGGAAATTGAAGAAGAAACTTGTTCAAGATCCCAAACCAACTACATGCATGCAATAGTGAAAGGAACGAGAATTACCTGAACTTGATCCTGTAGGAACTGGATGTACCCAATGACTTCTGTTAGCACAGTAGATGTATCTGTCTGGCCATCATTCAATATAGAAAATTTAGATATATGCTAGTATGGCCCTATTAATATATTAACTTCTTTAATTGCAAGACTCTCTCATCTCAGACTTAGTGGACGGCGATCCTGTCTCCTAGTTTCTCTTTCCTAACCTGCAGCCAAAAAAATAAAAGATCAAGCAATTGAAGAGTCTGACAAAGTAAAATAGAAACTACAACTTACGGAGTTTGTGAGTGGAATATCAGTTTCACCTTCAATGTGGGACATGAGGACCTATGCTTTTTAGCATACGTATGGGTCAATTCCTTTGTATCAGAAAAGCTACCAGGCCGCTTTGTGCTTGTATTAGATCCACTAACAGAGGCTGATACCTTTTGACGGTAGACAGAAAAGCTATTCAGTTTATGGATCTTGACATGTTAAAAGTGAGCAATGATAAAAGAACTCTTTCATTGTTGGTGAAATTGAATTGAAGATTCGTTTGTAAAACTGAAAAATGGAAAGTGCAGCCTTTTTCCTGTATCTTTCCAACTGAGCCTACCTTTTCCACTATTAAGTTGTTTTGTTTGGTGGTAAGGAGTTTCTAAATGCATGAAAATTCAAAGTGGCATGAATGAGAATGAGAATAAGAGAATAAGAGAAAAAGATACCCACTTTGGAACTGGTGGACGTACTACCACTTCGTTCTCTTGTTTGATCACTGGATTCATGGCTTATAAACACGCTTCTGCTTAATTTCTCGGGAATCATATCAAGTACAGATTGATTATAACTTCCACCATCATACGTTGAGGTCAAAAGATCCAGGGATTTCAAGTTCAAGTCGAAAGAGCTTGACAACAATGTGGAACAAAAATCCGAGGTGGAAATGTTTGTGCTTGGAAAGACATGATTGAAATCATATCTGCTAGTTGCTGATGTAGTTCCCGGACATGGGGAATGATGAACATTACTGTAGAACTCCCCTGAGGAAAGTTGGTCATGCTGTTAGCAAAGGAAAAATTGCTGCGCAATAGATTCCCTCCAAGATCATAATCACTAGGATACTGTGGACAGTAGTGCTTTTTAGAGGGTAGATATGAGTGCTATATAGAGTGACAGTAAATCATCTCACTCAATTTGGGGAAGGAAACTGACATATCATCTTTGATATTTGCAAGGAGAAATTAACTTGCAGACTGTTGGTTGAAGCTATCTTGGTTCGTGGAAGTCCTTATCAATGGTGACGCTTGCCATGAATCCTTTGCTGAGATGGTTTCATTCAGCCTGAAAACATTACCAACATACCATTATACTGAAAACCAAACAAACCCCAGAGAAATATACATGTTGCATGAACAAATCCTGATTGTACACGTAATATAATCAACAAATAAGTAAATTCACGTATCCAACCCCCCGAACACGAGTCAAAGATATCACAAAACATTAGGAGACAATCTACATTTGAAAACTGATAAAATTTTGTTTCTTTCAAAAGTTTACAATTCTTAACTTTTATTGTAAAATAAATTTTCATATAAAATCAAAATATAATAATATTTTAACCTCTATTTGAAATCGGGTTTTAGGCATCAACTAGACAATTCTATTCTTTTTCATATCATAAATAAAACTATCTAAAATCATCTAATTTAAAATCCAATTACTTAATATTTAATACTTATAATTTGCAGACATTTCTTACTCGTATACATGCTAGCTAGAAACTTTAGAAAACGATACGATATCATCACTGTTACCTGAAAATATTCCTCAGTGGTTGATGCCAAACACAACTCCTTACTCCTCTCGCATTCCTTTACCTACGCGTGAAAATATCACACACCGAGTATACACTTAGTAAGACAATTATAGAAATATTCAAAGCAATGCAACACATCAATGAAATAAGTAACAATATTCGATGCATTATGATCATTTTACCTGCATTCCAACCATGTTACCATATATCAACATGATATAAACTGGATATAAAAATTTCTTACCAATATACTTGTCATTTATTCTATAACCTCATAAGTTTATTCACATGTTTATCATTTATTAACCAATAAACCATAGCCCAAACGTAAACCTATGAAGACCCTGGGTACTCGAATCAAATACATACACTCAGTGTCCTTGTACAATAGAGTGTTGAATTAATTATGACACATAAGGTCGTGCCCACCACCTACACTAAGTATCATTGCACACTATAGTGTTGCACTAAGTGTCCTTCCACACTATAGTGTTGAAACCTGCAGCTGTTGGACTCTATGGTATGCCAACTATACATTGTTCTCCAATGACTCACTTGGGCATATAATCTAATTTTGTTTCATCCATGGCAATGTGTATCCATTTTATTTAACAATGTTGCAGTTCATACCCGAAATAACATTCATAATAAACATCGTGTATATATACATTCATGATAATTATCATAAACAATAAACAGTAATCAATGCATTCTATATCCAGCCTTTGACATATTTAGAATATGTCAATTATATGATAAATGACATAAATATCATGTCAATATAAATAAGGTAGACTTATCGCAAGTCATTCCCAATGATGTATAAAACATCCATGTATAGTGTTATGCATGCATTGCACTCACTTTGACATTATATACAAGTCAAATCATAAGACTCACTAAGCTTTAACTTGATCCTTTGCTTGGTTAAATCCAGAAATTTATCATAATTTCATATCATGATTGTTTGCACTACCTTCAAAGAAATATTATTTTGTATTAATATACATACTCAAAAATTATTTCATTTATATCACTGGAAACTAGTCTCGAATATAAATCTATCCATATAAGATAATCCTTCTAGTTCAATTTATACTATTTATAATGAATTTTCAAAGTTGACCGACAGAATCTGTTTTGAGCAGAACATGTTGTCTTGTTTACTGACCCATCCTCGACTAAAAATTCATATCTTTTTGTATACACCTCAATATCAGTTTCCGATTGTTTTTCATAAAACTAGACTAATATACAAATCCAACGGAATAAAATGCATTTCTAATTATTTCTTTAGAAATTATGGTGATTTTCTAAACTTATTGTTCGGAACATAACTCTAAGCAGATTTCACCATTTTGAAATTTCATATTATTCACTTATTCTCTTTAACTCACCAAATGAACAAATATGCATGGACCACAATGCACATAACAATTAAGAGTCACTTCTTACCACAGTAACTCCGTCACTGGCTCATTGCAAGTCAATGTTTGTTCAATAACATAAGTACAAATTAAATTTGCACTCACTTGGTGTCCTTAGCTTGTAAACCTTCCTTAGAGATTCACATTTCATCCTTAAGCTTCACCTCAGCTTTAATAATGTTTGATCTTGATTTCAAGCACACAATCTAAATGAGCATCATTACAAAACATATACAAATTCAAACCATATGTTAGAATCTTACTAACATAGGTACACATTAGAAAATAAATTCCTAAAAATCATCCGATGCTCATTCTATACAAATTCCATGTCACAACATAAATTTTGACCTTAACACTTCTAATTGACCAATCAAATTCTTTTTTATATTCAAATTTCACATAACATTTTCACTTAAAATATCAACCTTTCCATATTTTTGATTTGAACCTCAACTTTTACCAACTTCCCAAAATAATCGAATTTCACATCCTAACTTCAATTTCAACACTCAAACTTTAATTTACAGCATAGTACATCAACTAGGTGCACATTTACACAGTAACCCACAACTTTTCCATAATTACTGAATAGGTCACCTAACTTTCATAAAATTATAAAAGGGTCCCTATAACTTTCTAAGGCTTGAAGAATCCTTCCTACTTCATTTCCAACCCTTACATAATTTTTCTATAATTTTTCTCACTTCTTAAAGCTTAGGATGAATATCAAAAGTGTAGGTTTCATGATTTCACTTGATTCAATTCGATTCGAGCATGAAATCAACCTCTATTCAACATTTCAAAACCTCTACAATTAAACCCTCAAATCACATCTTTCTCCCCAAATTTAAGGTTAGGCCGAAACTTATGTACACATGTATATGTGATTTTAATCATCAATCAAACTTGAAAATGAATCTACAACCTCAATAACCTCAAAATTTATCATCAATTCTTAAAACCCTAACATGAACATAAACCCTAGAATTTGGGATCTTTGAACTCAAGCAAAATTAGCATGCAATAATGGTACCAAATGATAGCATTTTTCGAATAGAATAATTTTCTATTTCACATCTCGATCAAAAGGAAATTGCTTAAAAATGAAAAATAAAATTTTTCTTATCTAGTTCATGGGGAGCACGAAATGGAGGCTTGAAGATGAGCTTGTCTCATGAAATTTCTAAGTAATTTCATGTTAATTTGTCATTTATTAAGCTTAAATGAATTTAAAATTCATTTAATGTGAAATGACAATTTTAACATCAATGAATCCTTATATTTACATTCATACCAAGTCACATAACCCTTATCATCTTTCCAAATTCAAAGATGTACAAAATATTATACCCTTTACCATTTTATCCATGCAACTTTCCAAAAATTTTAATCTTGCCACTTTAATCCAACGGTCCAAATTGAACATGGAAATTAATTCTCAAATCCAATGATCCATATTATTTTTCATCATTTTAAAATGTGAAAATATATTTTTAATCTTAATTTAATATCCTTCAATTTTATAAAAATTTCTATTCGATCCGATTTATCGAATTTTATCGAACTTTAACATTTTCTAGCTTTTAACATAAATTTCAGATAAAAAATCTGATTCGCACGAAAACGTCATTTTTTTGGGGGTGAACTATTCATTTATGGGGTCAAAACACCTAACTTTTGGAAATTGCACTTTTGGTCCCCAAACTTTTGAAAATTACCCTTTTGGTACCTAAACTTTTCCAAACTTTATACTTAAGCTTTTAAACTTTTAAAATTTACATTTGATCAATAACCAAAATTCTGGGGTGTTACAATTAAGGAAAAAGGAAAGCAAGAATGATAAGGAAACTGATTTAGGTACTTACGGAAAGACGTTCGGACCCCATTCATCTATGGTTGAAACTTGATGGCTTGTTGGAGGTACCAGAGAGGAAGATTTGACATACTGCTCTTGAACCTTATGGTCATGAGGATGAAGATTTGCAGACTCCATGACGATTCCAGTAAGTATTATATATTATATATTAATCCTTGAAAATATAAACCAAATAAGCTATCATTTCCCTTCGGTTCAAGGAAGAAGCAATATATATTGTAAACCACTTCAGCCTTTAACTAGTTTTCTCCCTTGATTTCAACTGCATGCAAAAGCCTCAGCTTGAAGCAAGATTCTGAAGCAAAGAAAAAATAATATCCTATCTGTTGGAGTTACCAAGATCACATAGATGGATGAGACATGATTGACACCCTGATTCTGGAATTCAAAGGCTTATGTTTTAAGCAATTATATATATACACAAATATATGCATACTAGGGGCTAGGGTTTCATCCTAAAGTTAAAATTATCAAGTAATACCACTGTTTAACGAAACATAATTCATATAAATTTTTTAAAAGGTGATAAATCCAGATTCTAATCTTAACATTTTCAAATATATTTCTATTAGATAGTAATTGTCTAGGTGATTGAAAACCAGCTAGGGTTTGCTGGGGCTCCACTTTTGGAATTGTTGGATTAAACAACACTAAGGGTTTGTTTGTTTACTTCAGAATGATTAAGCGCTGAATGATTCAAATGCTGAATGATTCAGAGGCTCTGTATAAATTAGCTCTGAATATGACATGATGTTTGATAATGACTCTGAATCATTCAGAATGTACTTAGATGCTGAATCATTCAGCACTGTTTTACTGAATCAGTCAACACTGTTTTGCTGAATCAGTCAGCACTGAATCATTCAGATGTGAGAAATAAACACGCTGAATGCTGAATGGTTCAGCGTTCAGCGCTGAATGATTCCATTCTGAGCCAAACAAACAACCCCTAAATATCTTTTCAAAGAAAAAGAAGCTGCATATGGTAAGTAAATGATAAACCCAGAAAAGTTAGCTGAGAGAGAGGAAAAAGATGATAAAAATATGGAGATTAAGGGCCATATGCTCATATTGCAAACTTGTCGTTCGTCTATTCTCCTCTACTTTCTCCCATTACTTTTTCAGGCTTTAATTCTCAGTCCCCATGTTTCAACATTGGGTCGGTTCCTACAATACATTATTTGGAACACAACACCAAATATTTCTACCAAACTTATCTGCCAAGTGGTTTTAAAAGAATAATTAATTAGAATTTGATTTATATAATTATTTATAAAATTATATACGTAATATGTAATAAACTTCAAATTTTGAATTAAATTATAATCTTTATCTGTATTATTACTAGGGGTGAGCAAAACTAGATTCGACTTGAAAAATTATTTTTCGACTCGACTCGAGAAAACTCAACTAGAATTGACTTCGAGTTGTAATTTAATAAACTCGACTCGATTCTAAAAATTTTTAAGTTCAAATCGAGTTTTAAAATACAACTCAAATAACTCGAATGACTCAAAACTTTTAATAATTAGTGTATTTATTTTTAATTTTAAGTCAAATCTCTCGACCCTGAATGGTATGTGTATATCAAATATGAAGAAATATATATGTATTGTACATGATTATAAAAATCATTTAAACTGGAATTAAACAATATCATATTATTATAAATATTTACAATTAAATTTAAAAAAACTTAAAATTAAACTCGACTCGACTCGAAAAATTTCAAGTCAACTTCGAGTTGTAAAATATGAGAGAATTATTGGAATAGCATTAGGGTTCCAAGATGCAATTTTTTGTATGTTTATAATTAATTAGGAGAGAATTTCAAAGTGAGAGGTCACTTATCCATTGGTTTAAATAAGCATCCCAATTGGAATCCACGTTGGGATGCATTAAGTTTTGATATATATATATATATATACATACATAGATCTCATTATTCAAAATTAAATTTAAATAACCAATTATGCTCAATAAGATAATCTCTCCACGGTTATTGTACATAACCAATTATGCTCAATAATTTACTAGTGTTGATTTAACAAGATGTTAAGTTTTTAAAATAAGATTATAAATTTTAATTTTAATATCATGAATAAAAATTAAATTAAAAAATTATATTTATAATAAAATTTATCTAAATTATTTTATTAATGAATTTAAATTAAAAAGTTGTTAGGTCTTCTCTACTTTGTTAAATAATTAGTATTACCAATAAGAATATGTTTATTAAACTTATGAATGAAAACAAAAAATGGTGGTGAAATAGAAAAGTAATAGCATAGTCTATAAAAGTGGAAAATTAGAGCATAAAAACGAGGTGTAAGCTTGTCTGAATTGTTAAAATCGAAGAAAAAGATGAGGCATTAGAATCCTACAAGTAAATCTCTCTTTCGTTAATATATAATATATACGTAAACTGTAATTTTCATCATAGTTTGATTATTAAATTTAAAATAATAATTTGATCACTGAATTTTTTTAATTGTTTTATTTTGATCATTCTACTGTTAAATAATTAACGATGTTATCAATGAATACTTATTTTTTAATATTTGTGAAAAAAACCCAAAACTTTCTTTTTGTGTGTGTGAAATAACATTTAATTTTGAATTTCTTTTGATTTTTCGATGATAGAAGATTTTTTTTCAAATCCCAATAATAGAGAGGTGGAGAAAGAGGAGACGAGTTATATATATCCTAATTTTATGTTGATCGAACAATGGAAATGGTAGGTCTGAGTCATTTTTTTTCTAGATTTTTTTATTGAGATTTGTGAGTTCTAAAGAGATTTAGGAAAATCTAAATTGATAGAGTCGTAAAAAATGATAAGATAGTTCATCAATGTCTTGTGTGGTCATAAAAAATATTAAAGAACGACAGAGTCAACATCAGTTTAATATGAATAAAACTTTAAATTTTTTATCTTTATAAAGAAGAAAAAAGAAAGCAAAGAATGATGTGGAAAACATGTGGCTTTTGTTAGAACCAACCCATAATAAATTTGAAAATAAATTAGGATATAGTTTGATAGGTTGAAATTCTTGAATCTTTATTTGGTTGTGATCTTCTAAGAAGCTATAATTCTTTTGAAAAAAATACAAGATTATTTATTTCTTGGGAACCATACCCCTTTATATAACTAATTTAAGAATCAGTTATTGTCTGTACTTATAACTTTGGCCCTCATCAAATTATAAATACAACTTTAATAGTATATGCACTTTTATTTCTATTACACTTCTAATACCTTATGACTTTATGATATAATTGATCTATTAACTTATGTCATATTTTATTATAACAATATACATTAAAAATATGTCATCATGATTTTTAATTTTAATCCAACAGTTTTCACGTCAGCAAAATACAATCCAATTGTCATTAAACTGACCACATCACACAATGTTTCAGATTCAACGTAAAGTGATAAAAAATAGAATAATGTAAAAGTTTAATAATTAATTTAATTGTTTAAAAATTTAATAATTAAAACAGAAACACAATTAAAACTAAATGATAAAATTTATAATTTACCCATAATTAATAACAGATAAATACTGGTGTCGAGGACCACCCTACCCTTTTATTAATAAAATTATTTTAATACAAGAACAAGGAGAATTCGTACTTCGTTCTTTGAACAAGAGGTACATGAAATGTTGAAAACCCAGACCGAATTTAGTAGCCGATTTGTTACGACAAAACAATACTCGTTTCGCAATCTATCTTCAATCATTGCGTGTGCATGGTAAGTATCGTGAGGAATGTGATATCGGCAAACGAAAGCAAGCCAGGCGGCCAAAAGGGGTGAGCACACGTGGGCGGCACCTTTGCTTGGAACTAATTGAGATTGATTGATTGAAGGAAAAGCAATGGATAATGCTCGATGAGCTCAATGCAAGAGGCATCCCTTCCACGTGTTTTATTTGGTGATGCAAAGCAAGGTTTAGCCATTGGGGTGGCAAAGTTTTCGGCTTCGAGCTGACTATCATGTCCTACTAATAGAAATTATTGATTGGAAAAACAATGCTTGAATCAATTTTAGTTAATTCTTTTCCTTGGAGTCTTGTATTTGTTAACACCATTTAAAGGCTTTACCACATTCTTTTTAATTTTCCCTTCTTTATACATGTCTTCTCTGTCTCTATTGTCTCTCTGGTCTGATCGGGAATTTCGATTCGGATAAGACCGATGTCTTTGTTTTTGGATAAGAATTTGGCATAAAGATCCAACTTTTGTTTCTGGGAAAATTCAAATGAAGAGGCTTTCTGGTTTTATTTACAAGGGGATGGTTTCAGATTTGTGAATTTGGAGTTGGTTTAGAGGTAGAACAAAAAGGTGGGACATTTTTTTCCTTTTGAAAGAAACTGTGGTGAAAGTTTGAAATTTTACAAATTGGTGAATTTGGGGTTTGGTGATTGATTGAAGGAAAAGGTAGCAAAAAAGTGAGAAAAAAAGCTGATAACAAAGATCAAAGCAAAGAAGTAGAAGCGGCAAGTAAGAACTGATTCTAATCCTTATCCCCCCCCCCCTTCCATTTTTGGTTAAATCTAAGTTTCTCCCCCCGGGAATTTCAGAGGAATGGCGACGCCTGTGGAGCCACCGAATGGGGTGAAGCCAATAGGGAAGCATTACTATTCAATATGGCAAATCCTTTTCGAGATTGACACAAAGTATGTTCCGATTAAGCCTATAGGGAGAGGATCATACGGTGTTGTTTGCTCGTCGATCAACAGGGAAACCAACGAGAAAGTGGCCATAAAGAAGATCAGCAACGTGTTCGGGAACCGAGTTGATGGGTTGAGAACTCTGAGGGAGTTGAAACTTCTCAGACACATTCGACACGAGAACGTGATTGCCTTGAAAGACATTATGATACCTGCTTCCAGAACCAGTTTTAAGGATGTTTATTTGGTTTACGAGCTTATGGACACCGATTTGCTCCAGATTATCAAGTCTCCTCAGCCACTTTCTAATGATCATTGCAAGTATTTTGTTTTTCAGGTACTGGGAAATAACCCCTTTCTTTTTCTTTCCCGATTACTGTTTTGAATTGCTGCATTTTAATACGTGACATTCTGGTCCCGAATTGCATTTTAGTTCAGCTGCAAAAGTAGGTTGATGAGTTATTAGGCTTGGTGTGAGAAAAGCTTGTACCACTAGAAGCTTATTGGTTGTTCATTGTTGTTCATGCCGATGTCAATCGAACGGTTTAAGGAACATATGCATATGTATATTCATTAGAGGAGAGTTATTCGGTTAGCATCACTGTGTTCGTTTCGTTTGGCAAGGGTCTTTTCCGTGTCCGTTTCGTTCAGTTACGAATAAAATGCAGCTTGTACCATATGCTAACATAATGCTTTCTATTTGGTTATCAGCTTCTACGAGGGCTGAAGTACCTGCACTCAGCAAACATCCTTCATCGAGACTTAAAGCCAGGGAACCTTCTCATCAATGCTAATTGTGATCTGAAAATATGTGATTTCGGGCTGGCCCGAACCAGCATAGGCAATGAACAATTCATGACAGAGTATGTTGTCACCCGGTGGTACCGTTCACCTGAGCTCTTACTGTGTTGTGACAATTATGGGACCTCCATTGATGTTTGGTCTGTAGGATGCATCTTCGCTGAGATTCTTGGCCGGCAACCTATCTTTCCCGGGACAGAATGCCTCAACCAGCTTAAGTTAATTATCGATGTTCTTGGTAGTCCGCAAGAGGCTGATCTTGAGTTTATAGATAATCCCAAAGCCAGAAGATACATCAAGTCACTTCCTTACACTAGGGGCATCCATTTTTCGCGTTTATATCCTCAAGCCGATCCATCAGCCATAGATTTGTTGCAAAAGATGCTAATTTTTGACCCATCTAAGAGAATCACTGTCACAGAAGCTCTCCAACATCCTTACATGTCAGCGCTATACGATCCAAGCTGCAATCCGCCAGCCCAAGTCCCAATTAATCTCGACATTGATGAAAAAAACATGGGAGAACAGATGATTAGGGAAATGATGCTGAGTGAGATGCTTCACTACCACCCAGAGGCTGCATCTACCAAAGGTTACATGAAATTGTATTAGCTTTGCTTGGTTCAGATACTTTGCCATGATCTGCTTTCGACATAGACATTGTTATCGGGAATTCTCCTTTGGACCTCACCATTTTTGCCAAGATTTTGTCTTAACAGCTTGTTTATTAGTTCAGCTTCATCGTCGTGTAACTTGTAAATAATATGGTATTGTTTTTAATCTAGAGCTCTTCTCCATTTTCCATGCTTTTGCTTTGCATTAGTATTACATTTTCCATGCAATTAGGCTTTAATCAAGGTTAAACAAGGTTTGACCCTGGTTAATTAAGGTTTCCTTCAAGATATCAACTGCGCCCCCATTTTACTTTAAAAAGGTGAATGAACAATGTGTGCAATTTGCAGCAAGCAACTAGGAATCTTCCATGGCATATGCATGTGCTTGAAAAAGGCTTATAATTGTTTATTATTTTCCCTCTGGAAAATCAAAGATAAATTTGGTCAGTCCATAGACCAAAACCAACCAGCCAACAATTTTCAGACATTGTTAAAAGAAACCAACTAGTTCTACGTGCATGAATGTCTGGATACTGTCGGATTCTTAAAATAAATAAAGCTAATTGGGAGATGAAGAATCATAGAAACTTCACAACCCACCGTTTAGAATGGATGAATAATGAATTTACATTAATTTAATACTGTTAAATTTAACAGAAAGAGACCGATTCCTGGAGATTTACAAGAGCCACAGCCCACATGCATTAAACCAAACCAGGGACCCATCTACATAAAATCTGGCATGGAATACATGTGATTTGTACGGATTATATATATCACCGTAGATTCCGTGAAGAATACTGGCCTTTTTCCCATGAAAAAACATTATTGGTTTGCTTTACCATTTTTTTTTCTTGAATGAAACTTAGCTTGGTTCGAAAACAGAACATGCAATCATGAAATGGAGATTTACTGCAATCTCCCCGGCTAGCAAGAAAAGGACTGACTGAAGCCGACAAACGTACAAACTAACCCAACATTACATTGTTGCAGTTGCAGCAGATAGATATAAACGTGTGAATTTTTACCTGAATCAAATTCTAAATTGATCTAATTTGATTTGATCGTAAAAGCTTAACAATTCGAAATCAATGTCTAGTAACAGTTAACTAATTCTACAGTTGATAACTAACTATTACACCACTGCAAGCTTGCCAACATCAATTTTGCAACTGCGGCTTCTTTTTACAGAGACCGTGATTTCAACTTTCTAATTCCTTTTATTTGTTTCCAAATTCCAATGGGCATGTGGCCATTTCCTGTCTATAAAGTTCACAATGAAAATCTTTCATCCACCTCTTTACTTTCTCACCTTGATATTTCCCTTTAGTTTTTAACAAGATGGTTTCTCTACATCTCTCTTCCATTTCTGGTTCTTTCATCAATTGCTAAAGGCAAATTCATCTTTTTCTTTTCTAATGCTTGTAAACATAGTGTTCCTGATGTTTGAGACTAATGTCTCCTGTAATCAGTGAAATCCTCCTTTCTGGTTTTATGATCAACTCTACACTTAGGCGCAGGACCCATCTTGTTCAATCTTTCTCTGTTGTTTTCCTTTACTGGTTCTACGTGTTTTCATGAACTATCAATCCCTTTTGTGATTGAAACCCCATAACCAGCCCTTGTTTTCTTTAGCTTTTCTTTCCCATGTCTGAGTTTTTTTATCAATAGTAAAATTTCTGGGTCCTGAAGCCAGTTATTGTTTCTTCTGTTTTTGTTATATTTGTTGTTGTTGTTATGGCTAGTTCAAGCACTGAAGCATCCTCAGCTTCAAGCACTCTGGGAAGCTCGAGCTCATCGGAGGATTTTCAGAAGATTATGGATGAAAGGAAGCGCAAGAGAATGGTGTCCAACAGGGAATCTGCACGTCGGTCACGGATGCGTAAACAGAATCACCTGGATGAACTGATGGGCCAAGCTTCGGAGCTCACCAAGCACAACAACCAGATCCTGGCAAGCATCGATGTCACCTCCCAACTTTACTTGAAGGTTGAGGCTGAGAACTCCGTCCTTAGAGCTCAAATGAGTGAGCTCACTACCAGGTTGCAATCTCTCAATGAAATCACTGATTTCATAAACTCGAGCGATGGGGTTCTTGAAAGTGACAACTTTGACCAGTCTGCCCATTATCATCCTCATCGTCAGATCAATGATGATGCTTTCATGAATCCATGGAATTCATTCGCTGTTAATCAACTATTCATTGCTTCTGCTGATATGATTATGTATTGATTAATGAGTTGTTTGTTGTGTACCGTAGCTTTCTTGTTGCTATTAATGTTACCCTTGTATCTTTTACCGGTGTTTTCAGATGCCCAGAGTTCTATTTTAGACATAATAAAAGGCATAGTAAAAGCAATAAGATCAGGGGAAAGGCTAACTTCTTCAAGTTAAAAACCTAGCTAGCATTTCATATTAACAGCCAGTGAAAGAAATTTAGACAGAAATTAATTCAGTATATCTAAAAGCACATGCCACCTTGCATACAGTTGGGCCAGATGCCAAATGAACAGCTTCTATCCCTTTTGGTTTACTATTGATGATACTAGTTTTCTCAATAATGGCTGTTGAATGCCTCCATTTCCGGCTGCTTCAGCTCATGCAATGGTATAGGAAAAATAAGCACGTTAAGCAGTAACTGCGCATCACACTACTAGGAACCCTCCCAACATGAACTTCCTAATTTCCCCAGGTCAAAACGACAAAAGGATTTCTGTTGAAATCAAATATTGATTTACATCCAGCCTTAAAATATTCTTTCCCCTTTTCTTGTCAAATAAATAAATGAATACGAATCTCCTTACTTTTCTCTGTGCATTAGTCTTGGAATCCGATTCAGTCATTTGCTCCAAGTTCCTATTTACATAAGCCTTTCTTCAATGTTCAGACAACCGGATTGTCCTTCCTGTTGTATCCAAAAACTTTGAAAAGGAACAAATTGTTGCAACACTGGAATATGCTTCAATCTTTATTTCCCTCGAAACTATATTGTTTTTCAGTTATAAGTACGATATATAATTATATATAAATATATTTAAAAATATTTTATATATAATATGATTTAAATTAAGTTTATCTATAATTTAAATAAAATAAGAATTAAATTCTAAAACTCAAAAATCCAAAATTTTATACCTAATCTGATTAAAGTAAAACGAATTTCAATTTTCAACATTACTATAAATTTAAAGGTTTGATATATCAGTTAGTCCTTGATAATCTTTTAAAGTGACATTTAATTTCTTTTAATTATTTTTATACGTAAACTTGATGACTTTTATTAAAACGATTCTTAAACTCTATAATGTTTTTATAACTTTTTGTATATTAATTAGATTCTTTAAATAATATTAGATATTCGGATCTTGATAATTATAAGTGAGATAAATTGAATTGAAAATATCGTCTCTATAACAAACCTTTGCAAAACTCGATTTAAATTAATCAATGAATAGATTGGGTATAATAAATAATTAAAAAAATTATTTAGTTTAAGATTTTTCTTAAAAATAATTTAAAGGGAAAAAAATGAAGACCGGTATACTTGTGGACTAGGTCTCGAATTTAAACGTGACCAATCCTTCCCTTCACAAGTGAATTTTCTATAAATAAGAAGTTTCAAATTCTTCTGAGAAAACCGAGGTCTTAGACAAAGCAAACGGCGCCGTATGATCTGCCGTAAAAACAATTGACTAGGAGGACTTTTTGATTTTTATTCTAAACCCCCTTTTTTAGTATTCTTTTCTTTTGAATTCCTCTTAATGATTTTGCTGTTTTGGGTTATTGTTGGCAGGTGATATTTCTTCAACCAGCACCTATCCATCCACATATTTATAGCAATGGCCATATTTGTTTGGGTATAAATTTATATTAGTTTGCGATAAATATGATCTGTTTCTGGCGATATTTGTTTGCCCGTGTTTGCTCATAGATTTTTATCTTTTCATATAAATATATATGCATTGCAGTAGACATGTCATGATCTGATTCTCACTTTGCTTTCATTTTAATTTTTATCTATTCATCCTTTGAAAATGATGGGGTTTCTGGGATCCTGTTGTTACCTTTAAAAATGTTTTCCTTTACGTTGTTAAAAGATTCGTTGATGCTCATGTGAGATTATGTTAGCTAATATTTGAATATTATTGTATCATTTTTCTACCATCCTATCCTTTTCACCAAAAAGATATATAATGTATGGAAAATAAAAGGTAGAAGTCCAATTTCCAAGTACCCAAATGCTCCTTACAACTGGTAACCGACAACGGTAAATAGCTTCGTTTCTATTACTATACAGTCATGGAATAAAGGGGGAAATAATGTTAAAGATGGTTGCTTTGAGCGGTATAGGTATTCCTTCCTCTGAGAAGGAGCTTTGCAGGATTTAAACAAAAATTGTTTTTCTCTCTCTATATTGTGCTGTTTGAGAATAATGCTGTATCCTTTTCTTCTCCTTGGTCAAGGATGTAGGGTGATGATACTGTCTTTTACAGTAACGGGTGGTCTTAGGTTACCTGTGCTGCATTCTCTAGCACATAGCTGCATTCTCTAGCACATAGCTGCATTCACAAGGTCTTGGCTTGATTTTTAGTTCTTTTTGTGCTTCATTCAAATGGACAAGATGGGGATAAAATAGCTATTGGGAAATGAGCGAAGGCTAACCTTTTTTAACACTTGATGTGCCTTTTCAACACATGTTTGCCTAATTCAAAGCATAGTTGATTTTGTTAATGCAGCAAATATTTAAAATTCCGATGCTATCTCACTCTTGTACACGCACGTGTATCATTCTTGCTCAATTTCCACATGTATGTGCTATCTTTATTGCTTAGCTTTTGAAAAGACGGGTATAAACATTTTTGTTCTGTTTTATTATATGATTCATGGTCCCCAGCCATGACTGTTCTATCTGTATCAGCATTCTCTCCATGCTATCGAGCGCAACTGCGAAGGTTTGGTTACACATACAATTTTGATTTTCTGAGTGCCTTCTTGTTCCACACAATCCGTATGCCATTCTTGTTGAGCATCCCTTAGCCATGCATAAAGCGAACTGCCAATTTTTATTTTGGGCTAAACTTTTCAAACTGGGATGGGTACACTATTGTTCTTGTAAATCATCAGCATGTCCTTAACGACACCTGATTATATCATGAGGCATCCCACAAACCTTTTAATACTATCATTAATCATGTCTCGCAGCAATGTCCTAAAGATAACGACCGCTATGTAAAGAACTGTAGAAACGGTCTATCTCCGAAGCAGACCAGGTGGTGGTTGGCATCGGCATCTTCCTGCATCGACTAGTTTTAATAATTATAGATTAGACAAACAGATTCCACTTCTAAGGAAAATCAAAACAAAAGGAGAACGCATTTTTCGAATCAAAATTTAAATGCTTGTTAACTCCGAAAAAGTTGAGAGTTTCATTGGGGACTTGTAAGGAGCAAAGCTCTCTGAACGAATGGTGTTTAACCCATACGAGAGATACTTGGTGCATTGGAAGCACTAAGCAAATGAATGGGAAACCCTATCTTTCTGAAAAACTCATCTGAATTTCAAGTTTACGAGCCTTTGTTTCGTACATACATTCACTCAAAAAAAAAGTGAAACTTTATAACGAATGTTCAATCTTTAACCAGTGTCATCAAGTGTTTATTAGCAATTAAAAAAAGATTTTGGCTTGACATGGAAAGAGTATAGGGAAACTTTCAATGTTCCAGTATAGAGAAAAAGCAAAAGAAATTGAAAGCTAAGATTTTAATTAACAGGGTATATCCGAATTTGTTTTGTATTCCTTCAGTAGTTCTTAGTAAGGAAAATTATCAGAGATGCATGTACTCGACAATGAAAGGTCAACTCTCTTCTGCATAACTACTGCGAAATTATCTCAGTATTTCAGACCAAAATCTTCAGATCACGAGGCTTGTAAGAGACACGAGAACCTAGTGTTCATACTTTCCTCTTTGAGCATGTGGCTTGTCAGAGTCTCAGACAGACGTGAAAATATAATGCTTTTTCTCCATTACACTCATTTCACGATGCTCTGTTTTTAAGAACAAAGGAATTCATTGAATTTTAATGAACACCATTTTGGAACTGTAAGTAGAATTATTTCATGCGATTATAATGAAAGGATGATATGTTGACAACAAATTAGGTAACTTTGTCATTAGTCTTGGCATTATTTGCTTTGCTGACTGTATGCCACGAAATAAAGAAGCAGCTAGGCAATTTATGGTCAATAATAATAAACGCACAGCAGTTGAAAAGAGCGTGGAGGCCAAGCTCCAGTATCTTCCGTGCAATTTCCCCGTGACCCCATTTCAGTTAAACAATTTCTAGCTGTTTTCTTCTTCTTCTTTTTCCAACGAGTCAGCCCAGTAGTTTACACCCTGTTTCTTAATATAATAACCTAGCTGCTTAAAACCCACTTCAGTTTCTCCTTTCTCTAGCGACGGAATCTCTCTTTCGTATTGAAATATGGCTTCTTTGTTCAGAGAGCTTCCTTCCATGTCTACCATCCTTGCTGCCTATGCTTCCCTCTCAGCAATGGCAATGTTAATCCGTACCATTCTGAACGAAATGATCCCGAAACCGATACAAAAGTTCATCAACTCGAAATTCTCCGATCTTCTATCAAACTACTTCTCTTCTAATTTCACCTTCATCATTGAAGAACGATGGCAAGCTGTTTACAACGAAACGTTTCGAGCTGTTGAGGTCTACCTTCCGACCCGAATCAGCCCTGTGACCGATAAACTTCTCATCGGATCCAATGACATCAATAACCCGACATCCCCGCCGAAACGAAAGATCCCTTCAGATTGTAAAATCATCGATGAGTTCGAAGGCATGAGCTTGCAGTGGACGTTGTACGTTAAAGAATCGGAGAAGTACTACATCCCCGATAAAAAGACCTATCACTTGACGTGCAAGAAAAGAGTTAGGGAACTTGTTGAACAAAGGTATTTCCCCCACATAGCTAAGACGGCTCAGACAATATTGAGCAAGCGAGAGAAGCTCAACATCTACACTTATAACCAAGACCGTTCGAGGTGGGAATCCGCTGTTTTCCGGCACCCTGCTAGGTTCGAGACTCTGGCTATGGAGCCAGAGCTGATGCAGTTCATAAAGGATGACCTCGACTCGTTTGCGGCACGTAAGGATTTCTTTGAAAACGTTGGCAGAGCTTGGAAACGTGGGTACCTTTTGTTTGGTCCTCCAGGGACTGGTAAATCTTCTTTGGTTGCTGCCATTGCGAATTACTTGAGCTACAACGTCTATGATCTCCAGTTCCAAAGTGTTCGAAACGATGCCGATCTCAGGCGTCTACTTACATCCACCACAAACCGGTCAATTCTTCTCATTGAAGACATAGATTGCAGCACAAAGATTGCTAAAGATCGAGACAAGGTTAAAGAGGAAAAAGACAAGAAAGAAAAAGACGAAAGAACCGATCGTCCTTCATCTATTGATCCGGGAGTAAGTACCCTATTAACATCATAAAAGTTTTAGTAATTAGTTTAGTTAACGCTGAATAATTTGTTACTCTTCTGTAGGTGACACTGTCGGGACTGCTGAATTTCATCGATGGACTGTGGTCCAGCTGCGGGAACGAAAGGATCATCATCTTCACGACGAATCACAAAGAGAAGTTAGACCCTGCGTTGTTGCGTCCGGGGCGGATGGATGTGCATATTCATATGGGATATTGTACGCCAACGGGGTTCAGAAAACTTGCGACGACGTATCTCGGAATCAAAGACGATAAACTGTTCGACGCCATCGATGATTTGATTAAGGTCGTTGAGGTTACTCCAGCCGAAGTGGCACAACAATTGATGGTCAAAAGTGATGACCCTAAAGCTGCGCTTCATGGTCTCATTGAGTACCTTAACAAGAAAAAGGATAAAGCTGGGGAAGATGAAGTGATCCAAGAAGAAGAAGAAGAAGAAGAAAAAGCCAAGGATGAAAACGACAAGAATGATGGAAAACAAAGCATCAAACTTGATGAAAGTGAAACTGGCTGCATATATTTTTCTTAGGTAATATTATGTATTTTTCAAGCGGGTGGGTCTAAGCTAAGTGTCTTTATCTGCAAGTAAAATATATCCATGTCGATTTGAATGGTGTGGTCATATGTAATCCTATCTTTTTATGATGTTTTTCCTACGTATTCTTCGAGTCTATCAAAATATAGGTTATTCATAGAGCATAATTAATAATTTCGTATCAAGATATTGAGAAAAGTTAAAGGTAAAATTTAAAAATTATTAATATTTTCTAAGACAATTTATTTAGACACTGAATTTTTTAAAAAATTAAATGAGAATTAAACTTTTAATTTTATCATAAAATTGATATTTAGCCGTTACTTACTTCTTGAAGTGCTCTCAAAATAACTTATTTTTAAAATTATAAAAATAATTTTATTAAAGTTGTTCGTATTTTTCATTACTTACACTCTTACCATTCCTCTAACTTAAAACAAAGACGAGAGGATCAACCCAAGTTTCCAAAATAAGTATAGAGGAATAAGATAATCAAATAATTATTAATATCAAAATTAACGATAGATTTAATTTTAAAAAACTTAAAAAAAATTAAGTTAAAGCTTATTAAACTAACAAATAAAAACATCAACTATTTTTATAAACCAAAAATTAAATTCTTATTAAACAAAAAGATTAAATCTGTAAAATGAATATATAAAAATATCAAAGAGTGAAAAAGGAGAAAGAACAAAGCGCGGAGGAAGACATGAGAAGAAACAGAAGGGACTTGTAATTGATCTTTAGGCTGTTGATATCAATTGATGACTAGTTTTGACTAACAGAAAATTCTAGACAATAGAAAAAGAGGTGTTAATCGTCAATATTATCTATTAAATTCTTTATTATAACATAATAAATATTATTATTATTTTATTATATATATAATCTTTAAATAGAATATTTTTGTTAAATAAAAAATCCAAACATAAAACTAATAAACTTCATATTCATTTTTTTTAATCATTTTAACTATTATTATATATTAATTTATTTTATTTAAATATATATTTATATAAGATAATTTTATTCTATAACTAATAACCTTGAGACTCCTATTCACTGACCTAACTTTTTCTTTGTTTTTTTCTTTTGATTTTTATTTAACCGACTGTGACACCAATTTTAATATTGATTGACGATTGTTAATGATTATTTTTATTATTTTTTGTCCCTTTTCATATTATGTCATTTGTTTTTCTTTTTTCTTTTTTTTTCTTTTTTTATTTTGTTTAAATTTAAATAAGAATATATGTTGTTGTGACACGTTTTTCTTTACTCTTGTGGCACAATTTTTCTCTGTTCTTGTGTCACGTTCCTTATGACTTTTGGTAAGTTTTTCATGTATCTATGCGATCACGTTGGTGATTGCACAAAGATTCTCACGATATTTGTTTTCTGACCGATTTTGTCGATGGTCATGTATGTCAAATCCCTTCTTTGATAAAAGGTTTGTTTGTCAATATAATCAGAACGGTGCAGCAAAGTAGTCTGTCAAATTATCTGGTTTGTTCACCACTCCTTTATCAGTTTATAAAGCGTCTCGTTCGACAGAGACAATGAATTTTATGAAGTTTAGTGGTTTTTTTATATTGGATGTCATTTTTAATAGAACTTTACATTTTTTTTTTGTATATTTGGATTTAATATTTTTATTTTATGTATAAATTTTTGATGACTTTTATTTCTAATACTCTCTTCAAACGTATTATATAATCTTGATTCGTTCTATTATTTTTATTAATAAAATTCAATTATCATCGGCACATTGTTAGAAAAATGATTTTATTCGGTCACGTCAACAACAACAACAACAATAACAACAACAACAACAAAACTCAATTCCCATATGCAATGCGGTAAGGGGGAGGTAGGGTAGTAGACTGCCCCCAACGCCAGGTTGAGAGTAGCTTCCGTGGAAGACCTCCGGCAGTCAAAAAATTAAAAATATATATAAAATACAATACATGTATAAATAAATACATAAAAACGTATTTTATTCAGTCACGTCCTAATTTTTAAAGGATCTAATAATAATATACAAATCAATTTATAGGAGGAACAGGAGACGGGCAATGTGGGCTACAATCGGCCCCAGCCTCGAAGTGGCATTGTCTTCGATTGTGGGTCGGCCCAAATATAGCTTTGTTTGTAATCTACTTAAGAAGCGTACTCATTCGTTCCACATACCAACTTGCACATTTTGATTCGGGTAGGATAAAAGAAAATTTATCATTTCATTTTTTTCAATTTCAACAATTAATTTTATTAATAAATAAAACTATTATTTTAAAAAATATAAAAATTAAAGTAGATCTATCACGTTTATAAATGATTTCTCCTAACATCATTCAAAAAACATTAATTAATCACTATATAATTATACAAATAAAGTGCTAAAAAATCACAACAAAACAACTCAAATTTTGAAAATATGAATAAACACTATTTATCTAGTGGGATTAGGCACTAGATCCCTTAAGCAATGTTAGTGGTTTGAATCCCAACGATTGTCCGAATGGAGTAAACTAGGTTGTTATGATTGCACTTGCTTCTGCAGTATCTGATTCGAATTAGTCAATTAATATATCGGATACTGATAGTTATACCAAAAAAAAAAGATAAACATTATTAACACTAATACATGGAGGAGAATAAATATAAGAACAAGGTTTAATCTGAGTTGTGTACAATACTTTCTCTTAACTCCATATTTATAAACCTAAGGAGTAGATATTATACAGAACTCTAAATCTAATAGATATTAAAGTCCTAATAATAAATCACAGAGGTACTTAACTATGTACTGAAGCAAGGTGGTGTCTAAGGGTATATATCATATATAACTCTAAATCTAATAGTTAAGCACCTCCATACTTTATCCCACAATATCCTTTTCTCACGAAGCATAAATCAATAGTGAGCACCACCGTGCTTACATAAAAAGATCACGCACCTCTGTTTATTAAGATAAAAATTTTGTGGGAAAAAATCTTAATTAAGGAAAAAGAGTACACATATCATTAATATGGTTAACATGTTGCCATATTAAAAATATTACCATAAAATCTTAGTGGAATGAACTTTGGTTAAGGGAAAAATAGTACAAGGCATATTTATTCCCCCTCATGATTATATCATATAAAGTCTTTGAATATTACAACTCAATCTTGAATACAATCTTCAAATGTTCAAGTAAATAATTTATCAATGATTTGATTTTTTTTTCAAATTAGAACTTGAACGGATTCGTCAAATATTTACATCACTCTTCTTTAGAATATCATGAGGGAGGAAACTTTAGAAAAATATGTTTTCTTCGATGTATCATCTTTTCAGTTAATCTAATTTAAGTACTCAGTCTACATGTCGAGACAAATTTTGATTTCAAGATTCTTTATCTCAAATATTCTTTTTAAGCGATCAAGATACTTTTAAAACTCTTCAGGAATTCTATTTTAAAGTTTTTCAGGAGTTCAAATTCGAAGTATATAATAATTATCATAATTTGATCTTGATGTCTTTATAAAGACCTATGAACAAGCAGGCTTTCATCAATTCATATATACCATACACACTTAGATTAATTCATACCATCTAAATATTTAACAAATATACTTGTACAAAATTTTTACAAATTTTAAATGCTTCTAGCATTTTAATCCTTCGGAGATACTATCATTATATATATATATATATATATATATATATATGAATCCACAAATCACATTATAAAGTTTAGGTGTTTGGACTACTTTTTCATGTTTTGGTAGTTGATTTAAATTTACTTGAATATCGTCTTTTCATGTATATCAATTATTTTCACATCTATACTCCTAGATAGATTTTAATTCAAGATCATCATTTTATTTCGTTACTTCTATCGAAATATTGTTTGTAAAATCGTTGTCAATAACTTCTCTATTTTGGTTTCATTCTTTTCTCATAATGACATAACTTATCGAGATCTTTTCATTATCTCCATTTTCATTTTTTGAGGTACTTGAAAATCTTCTAAAATTGTATTATTAATTATGTATTAGGTCTCTTCAGGAGTACCCACCTCCGTTATATGACCTTATACTACTTTTCATTTACAAGAATTTTAACTCTCGGAACCAATTCAAATGTCATGCTTCGGGCATAGTTTACATTCATTTGCTCTAACATGTTATCCTTATGGGACTTCAATTCAAATTTGGAGCATTTTTAGTTGATATATGAGACGTGATTACTCTCATTAGGCCATTAAATGTTTTTAGCAATTAACTTTTAATGAATTATCTTATGAACTTCTGGTTCACATCACTATGTACGATGATCAAAATGATAATTTATATATATTTTTTTATCCAAATGTATATTTTCTCCCCCTAATAAAAAAATAATATGCAATCCATGCCATAATTAAATCTCGAAACTTTATACAAAGTGAGATTCACACTCAACATATATGTGTATATATATTCTCAATCTACTTCAAATACCAATTTTTGTGCATTCGTGGTGAATTAATATGAGCATATAATTCACAGCCAAAAAATTTTTATATCGATAAATATATGACTTCTGACCATAAGCTAATCCTAAGGAGGAGTATAACTTATCGGCTTAATGTGTATAAATTCTATATGTAAATTATCATATAGATACTAAAAGTAGTGTTCTCATATTTTAGTTATTAAAAGGATACAATCAATCAAAATTTTGCTAAATTATTTGTTTGTAAAGAATAGGCTTTGTGACAGTTATTTCAACCGATATACAATATAATCTTTAAAAGCCTATAATATAAACTCACTAAGTTTATAAAGATGAATAGTCAAAATTCCTTTTCTAATCGAGTAAACAATCTCACAAACTACAAGGTATGAGTTGATAACATATATGTGATATGTAGATGCATATACTGAAATCATATTAGATATTTCACTTTGTGGGTAAATGGGCTCATACTTCATTCAGATATGCAAGCCATTCAGTCTCAATTTTTAGGTGTCTACCGTTATACTTTTTTTAATAATAAAAATATTATTTAAATAATAAAAAAATCAATCTCTCATTGTGTTGTCTCACTCCCTCTCATCTCCCCACCTTCGACGATGATAAAGGGTCACCACCGAGTGGGTTTTGTTCGGAACAGAGCAAGGAACTCAATGGTGGTGGTCGTGTGACGTACAACCAATTGTAGCCATCAGAATCATCGAAAAACAATGAAGGAAAACTTAGAAAATCAACCATCTTTTGTGATGCTTTTCACAACGATCGACATAGTTTCATAGTGGGTGGTGACTAGGTTTGGTTACAACAACAAGACAATTCTAATTATGTTAACAATGACAGATATGGTTACAGACCGATGGTGGTCGATCAACGGTTGAATTTTAAGGGTATTTTATAATTATAATATTAAATCTATTTTTAAATAATTTTTAAAAAATTTATATGCATGACACGTGTCAGGTAATGACCAAATTTAACATCCATTACGGTCTAGATACCTAAAAGTATAACGTTGGAAACGTTAGACACTTATTTTTAACGAAAAATCTTTAGGCACCAAAAGTCAGTTTGAGATATAGTTTAGACACCTAAAATTGTATTAACCCTTAAAAATAAAAAACTATAATGATAGATACTTAAAAGTGTAACGAAGAAAATATTAAACATCTATTTTTAACGAAACATTATTAAAGCACCAAAAATCAATTTGAGATTTAATTTAAACACTTAAAAGTGTATTAAGCCTAAAATGAATATATAAATTAAGTAAAGATTAAATTAATTAGATAAATATTTATGAAAAAATTAATTATAACATTAATTATACAATTTTATTACAATATAAAATATAAAATATGAGTAGGGGTGTAAACGATTGGAGTCAAACTCTAGTATTGCTGAGCTCAAATCAACTCGAAAACTTTAAAATAGAGATCGGCTCGACTCAAAAACTCATGAGCGTAAAATTTTCAAGCTCGACTCGAACTAGAAATCTTGAACTAAAGCTCGTGAGCAGCTCAAAAATGATTGAAATGAAAAAAATTCTAAAAATTAACTCGATTAAAACCTCAAACTCTAACTTGAATCTGAATCTTAAATACATGAAAACCTTATTGTATTTTTTAAAAAAAAAATCAACACATAAATATTAGTATTATTAATAATTTATTTTTAAAAAATAAAATCTTAATATATTATATTTTCGAGCTGCACACGAGCTTTTTGAGTCGAGTATCAAGTAGCTCGTTTCGGCTCGTTAAGAACTCGAGTCGAGCTCAAGCTTGGGTCCAATCTATTCAATTCGAATATTTATCGAATTTTAACCGAATCGATCTCGAATAACTCACTTCCTTTCTCTTCTCATTTAGAGCCTTAAATATGAGGGATAAATAATTGAGAATAAAATAATTGTACTGTAAAAGAATCATTTTAAGACAAAATAATTGTAAAAAAAAATAGAGTTGTAATTAATAAGAGACAAATCTGGTACCAAGTGAAAAAAAAAAGATTATCCACGTCTGACCCGGCTGAAAAATACCAGTAGTGTAAAGTATAAAGCTATCGTAGTCAACCATTGAAACAACACATGGCTCGAGAATGAGGGAATGACACACTCTGACTCGGTCTCAGACTCGGACTCAGACCCAGAGCTATACGTTTGGATAATTAATTCTATACAATTATTGGGACTCGGACAATCATTCAATTCTCTCTTTACCCAAAATATCCTTTTGAAATAATTTATGGAATATTGTAACGTCTAGTTCTTTTCTCAATCCCTGCATTCTTCAAAAGTTTAAAAATTTAATGCCTCTACCTTCAATGTGATCATTTCAGTCCATCTGTTTGTCTTATTTTATGATTAAATCCTAATAACCCTCCTAACAGTGTTATGTTAAATTTGACTAAGCTATATTTTATTGTTAAAATAATACCATCACGCATTAAAATGTCATTTAAATTTAACGAAATTTGCATAATAAAAATGAAACATACACATTATAAATAAATAATTAAAAATTAATATGAGATATATAGATAAAATATAAATATTTTAAAATAGATAATTAAAGCAATTGTTTTAAAAATAAATATTACTCATACCATATAGGTATGTCTAAAATTTGGATACATAGAACAGTTCCTGTGGAAAAAGTAAATGTTTAAAGCATTTGATTTATTGAAGCAAAAATACACCAGCAAACCAGAAAAGAAAAACAGGGCAAGCAGCGGATTTCACGGGAACAAAGCTGGTTAGACGACACGTGGCGATAAAATGGCCGTTAGATAAAAATGGAAAAGGTGGCCGGCAACAGTTGATCATACGAGATGACATCTCTTAGCCGAGCGACATCCCTTAGCCAAACGAGGAGAGTATCCGGGATTTTAGTGAAATAAAAGAGAGAGAAAAAAACCAGCAACTGCGACTGTTTAGGTTAAATTTACTGTCTTTTTCTTCACTTTCTGGGTTTTGATTTGTTCAGCAGAGACAGGAGAAAAGAGTTAAGAAAAAACCCTGCAAAAAAAAAAACAGGGAAACGAGTGAAAGAACGAAAAGAGATTTATACAAGCACTGGAAATTTTGAAGCAACACCAACAGAAGCAGCTTTACCGACAAGAAAAGATACAAAAAATACTGTTTTTAAACACTTTGAGATGGTTTAAGATTATTTGGTTAGGTAATAACCTAAAGCGTAAACACGTTCAAGAGAGAAAATTGGCGGTAGCTCGGGGGAAACAAGAACTGGAAAGTGCAACCATTTAGAAATATTGGGTTGTAAAACATCAAAACGGAGAGGTAAGTTTCTGATATGGATGATCAATTCGAGGAGGTACAATGGCTAGGTTTTTCTCACTAGGTGGAAGAGGAAGTAACAGCCAACAAAGCAACCCACAAACTGAAATTCAACCCGAGTGCTGGTTTTGGAATAAAAATGATGACATTTCTTACAAGGGTTTCGAGCCATGGCAACAGCAAGATCTTTGTTCATCAGCGACGGGGTTAGGTTTTGGCCCTAGCAGGAGCTCCATCAATGTTTCGGATGATTCTTCGAGCTCGAGATCGGGTTTGGTGATGGGGAGAAGTAGTAGTGGAGGGGGGAAAGGAAGCATGAATTGCCAAGATTGTGGGAATCAAGCCAAAAAAGATTGTCTTCACATGAGGTGTAGAACTTGTTGTAAGAGCCGAGGATTTGATTGCCAGACCCATGTTAGAAGTACTTGGCTTCCTACTTCTAAGCGCCGTGAAAGGCAACAAAATCTTCCTGCTGCTATGCAGCAGCAGCAACAACAGCCGCAGGAGCAGCTTCGTGGAGTGAATCCCAAAAGACAGCGAGAGAATCCAACACCTTCTTCCCTTGCCTGCACTCGTTTACCAACACACATGTCAGGTGCAGTCTATTATTGGTGGTGTGTATATATATATATATATATATATATATATATATATATATATATATACTCTCTCAGTGAATCACTTACAGTCTCAAAGATCGATTCTTTTTTATGCATTAGAAGCAAAATTTTCTATAAAGAGATAAGAAACATGTGTCCAGGAAAAAGAAGAAAAAATAAACTCCAAAGAGATTCAATTGCGTGTTGATAGACCTTCACAGTAAACCCTGCAGCAGCTTTTCTTTTCATCTTTTTCTCTGTCTTCCCCCGAGATGATCTTATAACCCAACCTTGTTCTCGCATTTTCTCCCTTTGCTTACCAATTATAATCAAGGTACCGTTTTTTGTTTTCTACTTCTTTGAATTTCTTGTTGTGGATGTTTTGTTTTTGTATTTTAGGGTTAGAGCAACTGAGGAATTTTCCGGCAGAAGTGAGCTCCCCCGCGGTGTTTCGATGCGTGACAGTGAGTAGCATCGACGGTGCAGACGATCAGTATGCTTATCAGACGGCAATGAGCATCGGAGGACATGTTTTCAAGGGAATTCTTTACGATCAAGGCCCTGATACTGACAGTGACTACAACAATATGGCTGCAGCAACAACAGCAGCTGGTGAGAGTTCTACCACAACCAATGCGGCTACCTTTGCAGCTAATGTCAGTTCCGGTAGCGTAACAGCTGCTGCTGCTTCATCAGCCACCGCAGTTTTAGACCCTTCATCTCTTTATGCAACTCCACTCAAAATTTTCATGGCCGGTACGCAGTTTTTTCCAAACCCAAGATCTTAAAAAAAAAAAACTCTACAGTTGTCTTCTTTTTCTCTGGTTTTGTCAACATTCTAAGCATTTGATGATACAACCTAACATTGAAGTAGGGAGTTTAAAAGGAAAACAGAAGAGAGAGAGAGATGCTGGAGATTTCTGTTCATTTTTTGTGCAAAATTGAAGGCTTTTGGATCAAATTATCAATACAAATTCTTCTTCCCCTTTAAACGAAATCTAAAGCTGTTTTTGTAGGAAAATAAGCGTTAGCAACTTAGCATATAGGGTTGCAAGTGAGTTTAATATTATTTTAGTGAGTGTGGGTGGTGGAGGGGTTTTTATATATTTTTTTTGGTTGAATAATTTCGGATTTTCCACTACACTTTTTCGGTTGATTTTCGACGGAGCTGCTTTTTCCCTGTTTCTCCGTATGTTTGCCGGTTACAAAACGAAGACAGTATTGGTTTAACCTGTGACGCTATGGGCGGTCCCGCCATGCATAACTGAGAGTGAAACATTAAACCCTCCCCCCTCTTTGTGCGTGTGTGTGTATTATTTGTATATTCATGTGATCTTTACGTATTGCATTGATGTGACTAAAATTATGTGATCAAATGGGGAATATTTATGATCATTTTCTCCTTGTTTAATGCCTTTTCCTGGAGCAAACCTGTTCTTATTAGTGTTATATATTAATTCTCTGCATTGTAGTGTTGATAGAAGATGAGAAATGTGTGAATTATTAGAAATTAAACATTGTGAAGAATTTCCTTTAATCTAACAACCTTCCTCTTCGGAAATTTGCATCCCCTAATTACATGCTTAATTATATCGCATGTTTCAGTTAATGCTATCACCTAATGCCAGAAGCCTTTTCTTATTGTTAAGTTCAAGGTCCGTCAGATGTGGAACCTTGTTTTATTGTTAATCCTTGCTTAGTTTGGTCTTTGCAATGCTTACTGTTTCCTTACAGTGCAAATATAGTGGCACTGGTGGAATGTACATATTCTTCTTACAAATTGGAGCAAGGTTTCACAAAGAACCCTCACTGTTGATATCTATTTTGCTGTTGGAAAGTCGCATGAAGAATGATGAGAAGTTAAAAATAAAAAAGGGTTAGAAATCATAAATTGGAGCATGATTTTCCACAAAACGAAACTCAAAATACAAAAATATAAAACAATGATAAGATTGGTCTTAACATATGGTTTTTCCTATTTCTCAGTTATCCACTCTCCTATTTGTTTGGCCTTAATTTTGTTATTATAATGCTCTTATCTTTGAGTTCCAATTGTTAGCTGCATGCTAAAAATTTTAATCCATTGCCTATATTTGGTGGGTTTGTTGATATCTATCTGAATGCAGCAGTCTTTTCTGGAAATACTTCAAATAATTGTTTAAGGTAGGCTAGTATGTCTCCAGAAGACTCCATAAACTCCTTTGGATCTAAGCATTAACAAACATATAAGGAGCTCTCTTTTACTTTAATTATTATTACTTTTCCTGCGGTTGTTTTCAGCCAACATTCATCTAGGAAAAACCTAGAATGTTTGTGAAAAAATATAAAGAAAATGGGTTCCTGATGTTGATTGCATTCAATAGACTGATGGATAATACATATCAGTAGAAGAAAGGAGAGCGATTTTGTTAATTCCATATTCTTTCAGAAACATGCTGACAGTTGATGAAAGTCAGCAACAAAAAGAATGTGTTGATGGAGAATTCACATATATGTAGATAAAACACTTTTTTTTACCTAAGTTTTAAAATTTAGTCTTGATTAATCTGGATCGACCCAAGTCGCTCATTTAACTTTGATAGGTGAGTCTTTTAACGGAGATTTTTTATATATACAATAGCTCAAACTTGAGACCTTACTTAAGTGATATCAAATTATTTATCATTTGAACCATCCGTTGATAAACACTATTCCTCTTTGGTGTATCTCAACACATGAGAATCCAGAAAACTCAACTTTTTTTTTTCATTGGGAAAGGGTAAACGATTTTCACTTCATCTCTTTGTTAAGTCTTTTCAGGGAAAGATGTGATGGAACATCCATGTTTCTTGGTTTTACAGCTGGAAAATTCCCTTTGATTTAATCCAAACATGAGATCACATGGAAACTCTAAACCATTATCATGTGTTTTAATTACCATCCAATCCTAGCTAAAAAAGAACATGCATGTGATGTGTCCTTTACACCCGATTCCTGCCATGCATGTGAAGCAAATGAAAGAAAATACAGTATGTTAGTAACTATATACGAAGAAACAAGCAGAGAAAGAACAACAATGATTAAGCACTTCTTTGCTCGAATGGAAAAGCCAAAAAAGGTCACTAAGGGCAGTGGGATTCTGTTATCGCATTAAGACAGTGTAAGCATGTGTCGATATGTGTGGGTACAACAGTGTAATAGATTTTGGCTTTGTAGGCATCAATGGCTGTGGTCCCAAAACTGGCGTTTCTGTTATTGAATATCTCAGCTCTACTGACCCGAAAGCTTTGCTTTACTCAACTTGCTGCTGGGAAAAAAATAAATCCTATTGTGCTTGTGAGGGGGCAGAAGGAGGCAGTCTTCTCTACAAAGGGAAAAATGAAAGAGAGAGGTTATGCTGTTAATACTGCAAATTGGTTAAAGCTGAGCTCGTATTAAACCATCCATAAAAGCTGACAATAACTTTGTTTCCGGCAGTGAATGCTTCCAAATTTTTTTCTCTGTATGGGGTCTGGTGGATGTTTCTTGCAAGTTGAATAGCAGGTCAGTAAATAGTTGGGTTTATTAAGTATTCAAGCCATGGCACGTAATTTTTTCTCTAATGTAGACCACCCTTGTTTGATGGAGTTGACCTGCAATTGAACTTGTCTTACCTTTTCTATAATGAATGTACGATAATAATTAATGGAATATAATCGTACAATAAAGAAACATCAAAATTTAACGTAAAAAATCTTTTGAAGAAAATCACGGATAGAAGACTAAAAGTATTAACTATGTCAAGAGAGAGTAAACAAAGACAAGCGTCTATTTATGGTATAAGTTTATGGGAATTTATATAGAAAAAATCTACTCAAACCGAGTGTCTTATTTTTAATCGTCTTGTAAGGAGAATAAAATAAAATTCTACATTTATTGAACTTTTTTGTATGTCCACAAACATAATAAAAAATTTGATCACATAAATGGAACACCTTTTAATCAAAAGCTTGTCCCCCATTAGAAAGAGCGGGTCTATAATTCGACCGGCAAATTCAGTTGTTTTTTTGGTCTCTGTGAAACTTAATGGCGACCCAAAGTGGAAGTATACCATCATCTTCGCTTTAGGGACCCCATATTTTTTTCATGATAATGGAACAGGTCTGGGGGATGTTTGCTAAAGCCTTTTATATGTGTAAATCACTTATGCCCCAAATCTGCTTCAGGGTATTGGAAACGACAGACATTGTTAAATAGCATTGTGTTGCATCTTCTCTGGACCAGAAATCTGGAACTCCTTTTGCTCCCAGTCTTTGCTCCTTCAATCTTCCAACTTGTCTGAATATAAAAAGAGATGGGTCCAAAATTGTCCCGCATTCTGGGTCCATGGTGGGAACCAATAATGCTCAATGGACATGCCTTCACAATGTCCAAAACCCATATTGAATCACACAATTTGATATTAAATTCCCATCATCATACACCGTCAAATCCAAAGCTTTCGCAGAGATATATTGTTTAAAATATACTGTTTAAAAGCCAGACAGAAAGTGGCCTGGCAATTGCTGTTTCTTTGTAGGAGAGAGCTTGGGCTACCACTTCACTTAACCCACTAAAATAAACTTAACAATGAAGTGGGGCTCTGAATCTTTGCCATTGAACATGATGAAGAAATCCTCATTCTTCCCTACAATGCTCAGTGGGGCCTGATTAGTATTTAGTACCTAGAAATTGGGTCAATTTAATGGAATGAAAACATGGGCTGTGTTTTAAATTTCGTTGGACCGGCTCAGTTGGACACTGATCTTTCTCGACCCAGAAGAAAAGCTATTTTGAAGCTGGAACATGCATGACGAGATCTGTGTAAGAACCTAGCAATTGTAGCTAGTCATGGCGGAACCTAAAGTCCTAGCTAGGGTGTCTAATACCCTAAAACAGCATTAATATCGTCGAACTCTCAAAATCATTCTCTATGTACCCTATTATGTAGTTGTAGACTGTAGTTAGGGGTGTGTAAAATTATCCGATCCGGTTGATTCGATTTGTCGACCCGGATCTAAAAAAATCGGGTAATTCTCTAAAAAAATTACCCGGCCGGGTCGGGTACCCGGCCCGACATTTCCCGGGTCGGGCCCGGGTCACAAAATCTAGTTTTTCCTGGTACCCGGTTAGTTTATATATATTTTTTAATTTTTTATATATAATTATATAAAATATAATGAATTATTTATATTATGGATTATTATATTTTGTATTTTGAACTTTTAAATTTTATGTTCGGATATTAGAGTATGTAATTCGAAGTTTCGAACATTTAAATTTGTGTATATATTTTTTTAAATTAAAAATTTAAAAATAAAAAATTAAAAACCGGGTATCGGGTACTCGATTACCGGGTACCCGCAAAATCCAGGTACCCGATTACCGGGTACCCGTAACATCCGGGTCGGGACACAGGCCGAAAAATCGTCGACCTGGAAGTTTCGGGTACCCGGAAATTGGGTATCTGTAAATCCGGGTACCCGGATTTGCACACTCTAACTGTAGTTATGCTCCTTTGCTGTTTGGTCGATACAGAACTTGAAATAACCCACAAGTAATTTGGCTGCCATGCCAGGACATCAGTTATTGCTTTCGGTCATTAACCTAAAAGTATGGTCAAAACACCTAGTTGTCCAAATTATAACATAAACAGCGGATTATTAAGTGGTAATTAGAACTTGAAGTCCATTGACATACATTCACGAAAGGAAACTATCTGTGTTGAAATTACATTTAAACTAGATATATTACTAGTTACTACTAAACTGAATCCCAACACGTAAACTAAATCTTCCAACAAGGAGGTTTAAGGAAAAGGAGCATCGTCAACTACATTTATGTCCTGTCATAATCACTTATCACCCCCACTGCGTTTTTACAAAAAAAAAAAAAAATACCCCTAAAGAATCAATAATTATCTATCAGACATCTCTAGACTAAAGTTTACTAATATAACACTCATTTACAGACATGGACGGAAGACGTGGATCAACAAATGCATCTTCTTTGAGTTTTCGTCTGAGCTGACACTACGCGGGCAAAGCACGGATCACCATCCACAAGGTAAAACTGACACGCGACGGAAGATGCGGATAAATACCCCCAACCGTCTGTCGCTCCCCTTAATTACCACATACTCATGCCCTATAAATATCACCTACTCATGCCCTATAAATATGGGGGGTTCTGCGGTGCGGCGCCTAAAAAATGGCTAATATACGGCGTGACCGGTTAAATAAGTGACCGGTTAAAATTTAGACCGGTTATGTTATATTATTTAATC